CCCCCCCCCCCCCCCCCCCCCCCCCTGCATGCCAAGCGTGTAGGAGAACTATGGTGACCAATGTGAAAACAAAATCGCAAATGGCCTTATCTAGAGTGAGCATTTGGTTTGTCCGTTCTGGGCTACTGTAAAACAATATGGCGGACTTTGTATAAGAGGACCTCCTCCACATGTAGATATGAACGGCTCAGTCTAAGGTAATGAAAACGTAAAACTTCTTATTTTCAGGTGATGATTATGAAATAATGAAAACCTACCATTTCTGCCAATAGATGCTCCTAAATCCTACATAGTGGACCTTTAAGAGTTTTTTCATAAATTAAATTTGATTGTACTTTAAGTATGTTAAATTATTCCCAAATATAAATTCAAACAGGCAAATGGGATTTCTGTTTTTAGGAATATTTAATTTAATATTTTTTACCATAGCCAACTTGGAACTGTAGCTTTAGATGTAGTTATGATTGAATTTCAATGTTAAGTTTAACAGTAAAATAGCACAAACTTTATGAAACCTCGACAGTCCGACTGCAGGTACTGTAATTTATCTCGTATCAACAACTCAACCCATACAGCAACTTTTACACGGTTCATGCCGACATATCACAACTATAAGGAATGTGAAATAAGGATGAAATGTTACCGCTATGATCTCATTCAGTGTTGAGTTGTGGTGAAATCCTCAGCAGCATCTCCAGTTTATCCCTGTCCCTGTGGGATGTCAGCCTCTCAGAGGAAGAGGGGGCCATCTTTGAGGAGGTGGCGTCACACAGCTGCCGTAGCCCAGCAAAGCTCCTCGAGGAAAGACATGTTGTCAGTGCGCATTAATCATCGGGCCCACCATCGGAAACAGATTCCCCTCATAAGCAATTTCACTCATTAGAGTTACGGTGCTGATTTGCTGATTGGAGTTACGCTGAGGCTACTGCACTGCGAGGGAAGGAGAAGAGAGCTGGAGGGAGGGGGGAGGAGGGGGAGGAGGGAGGAGAGGGGGAGAGAGGGTCTGACACATTTACAGTGATGTGAAAGCTGAGATGTTGATTAATGTGCATTGTTCCTGTCACATAAACTGAATAAATAAATATCAAACAAAAGCAGAGGGAGAGGCTCATTTACAAACCAGGAAATGAAAGTTCCATTTAGTTAGGGAGTAAGACGAACTGGGATGACAGTCTGTAGACATGACTGTAAACAAGAAATCACCACAGTGGAAGTCAAGGCCGTGTGCCCACATGCACGAAGCACCTGGCGTGGCTGTTTCAGGCATTCCTTAAACGGACTCGGTTCAATTCCCGTAGCATAGACAAAACATTAAGAGGAGAGCCCCACTGCCCTGCCAGCTCCTCTGAAGTCCGCCACTGTGATAAGTGGCCTTCCTGGTTAACATGACATCTCGCAATCAGCTCTTGAAAGCCCCTCAGGCTGTGATTGGTTTCAAAACAATCTCGCCGCTCACAATTCAAGCGGGCGCATAAAAATAAATACCTTTTCACCGAATTTAAAACCCATCTTACACAAGTGATGCACGGTGATAACAGAATATTCCAGCCTCGTCCCTGTTGAGGTCATATTTAGGATCGACTATTCATATTGATCTTCACATCCCATTCACAAACACCCTTGTTTACATAAATAAACAATATTCTGTTTGCTGCCATGGAAACAGAGTTTACACAGGCCGCCAAAATCGCCATTTAATGGAGTAAGATGTTTACATGCCTGAGAATGCTGGCTAATAATGGCATATCTCAGCTGTCATACTCGGGTTTCTCATAACTGGGATGTGTGTTTATCCAGGCTATTGGGAGCGGGAGATGGTGTTTACGAGCTCCAACTCTTAAACCTAATTTTAGAATATTAATTCGAACGGCGCTCCCATGATAATCCGCTGGCAGTAATGGATATGGATTTTTAAAAAACAAAGTTGTTGATCATTATTTTATATTATATCTCAATTTCTCTTAACGCCGTCTGACATGGAATCCAAGCAGCTATGTTGCCGCAGTAGCAGAACTCTGAGAACAGACTGGAGCCATTGTTTAACAGTGCCAACTTTGCACTGTGTTTTGGTTTGATCCTATCCATTACATCCTCTCACTCGGGTCCCTGTGTGACCCTCCCCCCCGCTCCCCACCACCGCCACCACCACCACCACCAGTCATTAGATCATTACTCCGTTTTAGGGAGCAGCCGTCTGAACTTTCCCTGTGGAGCGGAGCCAACAACTGCATGACTTAATAAATGGTGACAAACGTAAGCCAACACTCACATCAGCAACATTACATGCTAACAGAGACGTGGAGCGAGTTCAACCAAGCAAATGGTCACTACAGGTTTTGTGTTTTATACATATATACGTGTGTGTACTCTCCTCGTCTGTCACGTCTGCATCATCTCTGCACTTTGATCACTTTCAAATGATCCTTGGCGTGTGATTCTTCTGTGTGACTACGCACAGATACATAGCGTGCACTAATTAGGCGAGGGCTTTTTTTTTTGTCAGGTGAACGATGGCTACCGATACACCCCTCTGTCATTTTCTTCAAGAGAAAATGCACTCGTGCAGGAATTCCTCTCGTCTGCTTCCCTCAGCTCCTTTTTTCTCCCTGCTTTTGCAGATTCCTCCGTCCGCCCGGGCAGCCCGGAGAGAAGTCGTTTTACAGTTCAATCAGGAATTCTAATAAACTGACCTGTGCTTTAATGACTAATTCATTGTCTCCTTTACTACCTTCATGGGTATAAAGCGGATTAATGACTTGAGCAAGGTTAAAAACAGTACCACTGTGCTTTTCCTTCATCTATTATCAATCATCCTTTAGATTCTTAGGAGAGCAACGGAAATTGAAGGAAAATTAGTAATCCTTTTGATGGATGATAGCATAGGTAGGGGTGTATGCGTAAGATATAAGTGTGGCCATAGCATTAAATGGAAATCGCCTTAATAAGTAGCGTCGCATGAGGAGCTTGCATTTTAAGACGTGCCACATATAAGGAACAAACTGTAATGCTGCATGACAGGGGAATTATCATTCTGTGACAACAAAGCCACAGTTTCAGACGGCCTGAGCAACGAAAAGGAAGTCAGATTTCTCATGATCCTCACAAATACCTGGCCTGGAGATATAATCATATATTGCACAGCTCAGTCATTTACAGTGTTTACAACAAAGAGCTTTTAGGGGGGAAAAAACTCCAAGGAAAGAGGAAAAACTCCACAGCAGTTTAGAGAATAGAGGTTACGAATTTCTCGCGAGTTGTTAAACTTCTTTGACAGTTTCTTTACTTTTCCTCACACTGTACTTCTTTCTTGTTGTTCAGAAATCCCATGGAAGAGGAGAGGAATGAAAAAAAAAGGAAGAAAAAAACCAAAGGGGAGGCAAAGGGGAACGACGAGGAAGAGGGGAAGAGCGGGGTATGAGGCTGCCTCTCTTTGTTTACCATTCTATATTCCCATCATACGTACGCACGCCTCGGCTGCATCTCTGGGCTCTTCCCATTCTTGGCCCAGTCATTTCTGACAATGTTAATGATTTAGTGGAGAGCCCTCCACAACGGATGATTTGTGACATGTAGGAAGGCTGGAAACGGGGGAGGACGAGGCAGGTTTCTGTGGGGAGTGTTTGGGATCCAGGGATGCCTTGAAGATAGTGATTCATTATATTTAAGACAAGTGTGACATCCTACTTCAAGGAAGCAGCACACATATGTATGGCGGGGGGATTTTTTTTTTTTTCTTTTTTTTTTTTCGGGTGGCCAAAGTGGGGGGGGGTAGGTAAGTACAAAGGAATGCCGCAGTGTTTTTTGAGATGACATAGGAATAGGAGGCAGGCATATGGAGACGGCAGACTGGAAAATAATGGGTAATGGAGGAATTTAGCCCGGGGCTATATGCCTGCTTTGCCTACTTCTGTATAACTAGTATATTTATAATTCAAATACATACCTTTAATAATTAACAACCAGTGAATATTAAAGGAGAATGCAGGGATCTTTCCTACAGATGGAGTCAGGTGAAAAATAGCATTAAATTTCAAATTTGACAACAACACAGAACAAAGGGAGCGGGGAGTGAAAACAAAAAGTTGGCCGCCCAATTTTTTACCCCACAAAAAGAGGCCTCGTATGAGTGTGACATTTATTTTTTAACACGTTTGTGTCTCAGTAAAAAAGTAATGTCACGAGATTTTAAAAAGCTGGTTAAATATTTGCCTCACGTTTAAATTAAAGACACTGAATCGCTAGGTGCTTTACAGTAGGCTCATTGTTTCTTGTTAGTGAATCAGTGTGTTAAGTCGGCTGAGGGCAACTCCCTGGAAACTTGAGCGTGCTGTTACACAAGTAAACGTCTCACTGATTTTCTTGGAGTGTCTCAGTCAGTGTTTGA